CTTTCTCTTTAGGGGGCCGATCTTTTGGTCGTGGCATAAAGCGTCCAAGGGTTGAAATTGGCTTGTGGGCCATCTGAATGCCCTCCTTTGCTAGCACCCGTGCCAGCGCTTCACTTGTTCCCTTGATGTATGGGACGCTGATGCGCGTGGTTGGCCGGCGTTTCGTGTCAACCTGCGACTGGCGGTGTTGTCGGTTGCGGTTTTGACAACGGGCAATTCGGTGTATGAAGCTGCCCGTATATCCGTTCTTCTTGAGGTCGCAAATGATGGTTTCTTCTTCTTTTCGTCGGTCAGAATCAGTTGAGCAAAGGTTCTTTGCCCTTGATAGGAGTGTGTTTACCACCGATACTTTATGGCTCGTTGGGTGGTTGGAGTCAAATTGTAAGTACCTTCCGGTGTGCGTTGGTTTGCGGTAAACTGAGAACTCGAGATGGTCTTTCTGCCTTCGTACAAGCACATCGAGAAACGGTAAGGTGTTGTTTTTTTCCCGTTCCACGGTGAATTGGATGTTAGGCTCGATCGAATTGAGGTGTGTCAAAAAGTTGTCTATTTGAGACTTCTTCATGACGCAGAAGCAGTCGTCCACATATCTTAGAAACACCTTGGGGCTTTCAGCGAGGGACTGGAGAGCCTTTTGTTCTATGGCTTCCATGCACAGGTTTGCCGTGGCGACAGAGATGGAGGCCCCCATCGCGGTTCCACTGGTCTGCTTAAAGTACTCTCCTTTGAAGCTGAAATAAGTGTTACTCAGGCAGAATTCAAGGAGGCGGCAAAGTTCGTCCACGTTGAGCTTGGTCCTGTTGCTCAAATCGCTGTCTTTCTCCAAGGTGTTTCTGGCAGTCATGACTGCTAAGGAGACCGGAACGCTTGTGAACAGGGATATCACGTCAAAAGATACCAGAATCTCCTCGGCGCTTATCTTTAAATGCGAAATCTGCTCCACGAAGTCGCTGGCATTGCGCACATATGTCGGGGTTTTCCCAACGAGAGGAGAGATAGTGTGATGAAGGTAGTTTGACAATGCTTTGAGCGGAGAGGTGGTGAAGTCAACGATGGGTCGGAGGGGGACGTCAGGTTTGTGTATTTTTGGAAGTCCGTAGAAACCGGGGGTAAAGCCATTCCGGCAAAGAAGGCGCAGGTGAAGGCTCCTGGAATCTGGGTGACCTTTGAAAATATCCGTAAGCATCTTGTTTAACTTCGTCTGGACTTGTGATGTTGGGTCTCTCTTGAGTTTTTCATACGTAGAGCAGTCAAGGAGATCGCGGACCTTATGCTCGTAGGCATCCCGGTCTAGGACGACCGTTGAGTTGCCCTTATCCGCTGGCAGGATCACAATGTTGTTGTCCTCTCGAAGCTTCCGAAGGGCTTGCACCTCTTCTCTTGATAAATTGTGTCGGTGATGTTGTGGAAGTTTTGATAGCACACCAACTACTTTTTGTCGGACTCTTTCGCGAGCGTTTGAATCCAGCTGCGCGATGCCGTCTTCTATTGTGGCAACCATTTTTGGTAAAGGCGGCTTCGTCGTTGTCATGTTATAACCGTGACCCTTTGCTAATACTGCAGTCTCACAAGGAGAAAGTAGTCTTGAAGAAAGGTTCGTGACAAACCCGTCGATGTTGTACGTTGCCTTGTTTTTCTCCGTCAGTCTCGAAAATTTTTTACGCTGGGCTGTTTGCTGTTTTGCTGCAGCGGTGGCAGCGACACTTGTGGCGAACGACTCTAAAGCTGGAAACACGTCGGGAATTTGATGTTCCAGCTTCCGACGAGTGAAAAACAGGTCCAGCTCTTTCTTCTTTATAGTTGAGTTGCACTCGTGTATTCGAGCTTTAACTAACCTGTGCTCCGCCTGGTCGATAATCTTGTGTCCCTCTGGTGTATGGACGATGCGTTTGAGATGAAGACTGCGGGGAACCACGTGTGAATCTCGGCAGTTTCTTGTAAAGTCAAGACCCAGACAACACACAGACATCCGCTGGACATCCAAAGGATGTCCCGACTGGGACATTAGGGACGTCCTGCGGATGTCCGAATAATGTCCAGAAGACATCCGAAGTGAAACACCAAAGGACGTCCTCAGGATGTCCAGGAAAGGATGTTTCCTGGACTTTATTAGGACATATATAGGACATTGTATATTTTCATACTGGTGTACTAATTTACACTACAGTGGGATAAGACCACACAAGTCTCGAAACAAATAAACCTTTATTATTTCAATGTAAAAAGCAAAGACAGAGAAATAACATATGAGGTGGCATCAATAAGTATCTGAACAGCCACCACTGAACAAAAAGAAAATGCAGCACCACAGTGCGACACACCTGACCCTTCCTAGCAGGCTTGCCAGTCACTGTGTGGTGACAAAATGAATTCCGAGCTATGCTTGTTTGTTTAAAAGGTATTTCACAACTTTCTGACCGCATAAGGCAAATAAAAAGCTCAAACAGCACGTTTACATCAAATTTCCTGTGAGAATTGGGAAGAACATGTCAAAATACCACACACTCCTCACCAAGCATTTGGTGACCATGATTTAGTAAAAACATGTATAAGTGAGTGGCATGGACATTTTAGGCAAGGCCAAGAATTCCTTGGAGACGATGAAGAGAATGCCCTCCGAGAAACATAACATAATATAGCAAAGTTAAAGGAGTATGAAAGCAGTTTCTGAGAGTTCTTTAGTGACAATAACTCAATCTAAGTGCTCCAAGCGTTCTGAAAACCCAAAATTACACAATCAGGCGTGGCCCATTTTCCTACTAAAAACACGATTAAAGATTGTTACACGCCCCCTTCTCTGAGATGAATATTATTGTGAGGCAGCCAACAAGGGGCGCTTGTCAGCCAATTGCTAGCGATGGCTTTTCGTGCAGCCAACGAGTGGCGTGATTTCTGAACGTGTGGATCGGACTTCTTTTCAAAACAAACTATAATAGTACAAACAGTCAAAATCTCCACACATTCAAGTGTTTTCATTGCTCTAGTGTGTATAGTATGCATGTATTTCTGTTGCCTCGAGATACATAGGCAGTTTCGTAATTTGGCACTGGACATATTTATTAACTGGCACCTATAAAATAACATCAAGAACAATCTTATTCAGAAACCACCTTAGTGCCTCTTTAAATAAAAACACTAAGATAAATACTGCTCCTGACATATATTGTATGTTTTAGGAAAGCCATGCCCCTCACGACAACTCACACTCATTAGAAAAAAACGTTTCTAGACACAATACCTTTTCCGAATCGTCTTTGTCATGCACGTAGCATAAGAAGTAGAAGCCCAGAAACCACTATCGCAAAATTTGTTTCTGATTGAAGATCTAAATAGATATTACATACCAGGCACCTGTGCATCTGTGTTTACCCGTCCAGTGCCAGGGTGAGACATGTTCATAGGGGTTACAGGTGCATCTGAAATTTTATAAAATGCTGTTCTTGTTACATCGAGTCGGCTCACAGGAGACCACTGGTCAAATCGGTTTAATCAATTCGGAGCCCGGCGTTCGTCAGCCCGCGCACCCCGAGCCTCGAGCGCTCAGTGCCCTCGCTCCTCGAGTGGCCACGAGCTGATAAGCGCCGGTCTGTCAGTCAGTACATAACAGTTCTCAGCTTTGATGTTATTTCGAAGGATATGAAAACTTTAGCATTCACAAAATAAAACTCACCGTGGTGTTGCTGCCACAGTGTCGCCGCCGCTAGAGGGACATCATTGGCACCTGAAATTGACAAGCAATTTTGCACAAAATGCTGAATGCTATAAAAATATTTAAAAAAGGTGAGAAAGAAATGAGTCAAATCTATCGAATGCCACTTAAGCTGCAAGATATACCTGCAGGCCGGATGCTTGAGTGAGGTGTCCTGCTCCTGTATAGAGTGTGCACTGGGGGGACGCTGTGGACACCTGAAACCAAAGAGTTTTTTTTACAAAATGCCGAATGTTAAAGAAAATCCGAGAACATGCGAGAAAAAAATGTGTCAAATCCATCAAATGCAACTTCCGCTGTAAGATCTACCTGTGGGCTGGATACTTGAATGGGGCAAAATGTTCGCATATGGTGTGTGCACTGGTGGACCCAAGTCATCACCTGAAATTGAAAACAGATTCTCTACAAAATGCTGAATGTTAACAGGAAATTCAAGAACATGTGAGAAAGAAAGGAGTCGAATCCATAAAACATAACTTTAGCTGCAAGATCTACCTGTAGGCTGGATGCTCGGGCGGGACATCATCCTGTTCGTGTGGGATGCGTGTACAAGCTGGACATTGTCGAGACCTGGAATCAAAATTAAATTATCTACAGAACACTCACCTTGTGCACAAGCAGTTACCTATGTACTGTGGCTGCATGCGTGAAGACTGGGCACGTGCTTGGGATGTGGCTTGGGACGTGACAGTTTCGTACAGGGCTGCAGAGGAAATAGTCACACTTACTCAATCCATGTACCTGAACATGCACTGAAGAGACATAAGGTATACACACCAGAGTGATGCAGAGGTGACTTAGAGAAGTTGGCACCTGGAAAAGGAGGAATAGTTGGTAGTAAGCCGTTTGAAGTTACACTAGATGTTTTCAAAGAATTTTTTCAACCGTCCTAGAGCATCGCCAACAATGCACGATGCCATACCTGTTTTCTTTCGTGGCTGGGGTGGCGTGGGTGGTTTTGGTGGTTCATATTCATCGTCGGAACCTGTAGTGTCGGTGCTGTCATCATAGTCAAAAGGAAAGGTCGGACGGCGTTTTCGCTTGCCACGACCTAGCTCTTCTTCACTAGTGAAGTCTGACGTATACTCCAGAGCCTGAAGTTTCTCCAGCGCCTTCTCATATGTGTCTGAAAGAAATTTACGCATTGAGAACTGGAAAGAATTTAGAGCAAAAAAGCACTTACCAGCCCAGTCCTTGATCAGGCATTTGACCTGCATCCAACTGTCTTGTGGTTTGACGCCTTCGATTGTCATTCGACGACGCTTGTTAGGATTTTTTTCCTTAGGCCAAAATGTCGTTTCAGTGCTTTCAACGAGCCATGTTTTGTGAATAATGGCCAAGCTGTGATCTTCTTCAGGAAATGCTACAATAGCAAACTTGTCACCTGAGCGAAGCAGGAAAGGCAAGCATTTGCATGTCCACCGAGTTATTTTTCCCTCTTTAATGCAGCATACTAAAACCGAACTAGCTTGTCCAGTTCATCTACAAACAATATCATAAACTAGATTATTAATAAACAAGCAGCCATAAAAACATTTCACTGTAGGTGCACCATTGGAATAACGGCAAATTTGTTTGCCAATGGGAGTCTCACACATTTCACTGCAATTTCTGAAAGTGGCCAGAAGTGAATGTCAGACAGTTCAGATGCAAGGAAGATGTTCAGCAATGATGAACTGCAGGGATAGCTGTAAAGGTCTTCTAGACTCTGGTACCTCCTTCCAACCAACACTGGTTGATAGTTCACTGCAGTGCGTGCAATGTTTTCAACCTTGATGATACTCTTGTCTTTTAACATGCAAGTGCAGTCTTTTTTGTTTGTTTTGATGGTGATGCCAGCAGGAAACGTCACGGTCTTGTACTGAGGTCCAATGCATCCGAGCGGCAATGGTCGACCTTCATGCCTTGCTGTCAGCTTGAAACTTTCTCCTCCAAGGAATACAGAGGAGACGGGTGGAGTCGATGCTGCCGACTCTCCAGTGTTGACAGCAGGAGATGCAACCAAAAATCGTTCTTCTACGATTCGATTGTAGACTTGCTGCAAGGGCCTTTCTGGTTTGCGTACATAGCTTTTGAGTTTACGCATGTAATTTTCGAATGGGAAAGCACTATAGTTGTGAAGAGGTCCATGAACTCTTACGTCGCTTGCCACATGAATCAAGCCATGAACATTGTGAGAGACTGCATGTCTACCATATAGTGTTATGTAGGTCTCAACAAAATGCCTTAAGAGCCTTTCTGCATACCCTAAGTGCTCTCTACAGAGTAATGGGCTGCAAAGTATGGTGACTGCACAGTGAAGTGTCATGAAGTTGTCCATCAGAGGCTTGGGGATCCTTGACCTCAGCACCGCTGGCCCCGTGTAAAGAACAAGCAAGCGAAATTCTGACGCTTTCCACCTATCAATGTCGGACAAGCTGCGTGGCTTCCGAGACATGTCTGATGGTACATAGTGCCTCATTTCAATGTTAGCTCCTGACACAGAATCTCTTGATGCACTTCCAATGCGGTAGGTTTTATCACCTTTCAGCCAAAGGAGTACAAGCTTGCGCACAACACCCAGACAGATGAGGTGCATATAGTCAAGTGGCACCTGGTCAACAATATCTATGGGAAGTTCTTTTAAGATAGTTTCTATGATGTGGTGGTCCTCTTGCTCTGCACGCCTAAAGCTAGCATTTGTTCGTAATGGAGCATCAAGATCAGGGAAGCACATTCGTCCCCGCACAAATTCTCCTTCAGTCGTGCACTTTGAGCAACTGAAGTAGCCGCTGTGCCCTTTGGTGCCAAGAATGTATGACTTGGCAGGCGCGTCGCAGATTATTGCTCCAACTTGCACTCGGAAGACCCTGTTGCCAATAGCAACACCTTCAGAGAGAACACCTTTCAGGTCAGACACAAACGGACTAAGGAAGACATTTGACTGAAGAGCCTTACACTGGCCATGATAGACACCAACTGGAAATGGGTCACTGCCTGCACAGTTAGCAGCTTGGCAGAGAATGGGCCAGAACTGATCCCGCGTGCTTTTCGTCAATGGTAGTCCATCTACATTCACATGAAGGATTATTGGATCCGGTATATTGCGCACAGGTTGCAGCGCTGCCCTGAGCCCCTCACTCAAGCCTAAATGGCAGTAATGGCCGGAATCCATGGGCCTCACATTATCAGTGACTCTTGGTGTAGACAAAAGTGCCCTGGCACATGTTGGGAGGTCTGAGAAACAAGAATGCGAGTGCAGTATCTTCAGGAGCTTTGTAACGGTATCATGAGGGACAGCCCCCTCTACGCTCCACCGCCGCAGCTTTTCCTTGAAACGTGAAACGTCGGATTCCTCTGATTCAGACAATTCATCCAACTCGACATTCCTTCGATTGTCTCTTTCTAAATGGTGTTCACGACTGTAAGGCAAGCCTTCCGAATCGACAGGGACGCCTCGTCTCGAGTGAATGGCGCTTGCACCGAAGACCGGTTCCGGAGTATCAGGCACAGTCTCAGAAAAACAGCACGTTGTCAGGACATCTTGCTGATACGAGAGACGTGATGGTTCTGCAATTAGTTCCGGCGATCCCGCGTGTTTTTGCGGCGCTCCTGCAACTAGTTCCGGCGACCCAGCGGGCCTTTCTACAGAAGCCTCATCCAAAGCTTCAGCTGAGCACATTGCATTTTCTCTACTAACTGACAGTATAAGTTTGAGATCGCTTTCCGCCGCACGACGAACGCGCCGATAAGCTGTTGTTCTGGGTAGAGCAGCCATATTGTCCATATCTACGATCTTCTGTGGTTCGCCTTGTCTTGCAACAGCCAAGCTCTGCGAACGATGGAAATGTTGTAACACTTTCATTACTCGGCCTAAAGTCATGTCACATAATACGGAGTATTAGCAAAGCGTTACTGTTGGCTATTGCGAGCGCGGTAGCCCTCTGGCCGCGCGCTGCTTCAAAGGGGGAGCGCGAGCCTCAATACCGCGGTGGCGGATCAGGGGACCGGTTTGGTAAAAATCCCGACTGTCGCTCCAAACAAAACGTTAAATCATACTTACTTCCTCCAGCCATGGTGGCTAGTGAGTTGTCAGGTTAGCGCAGTAGCACGGTAGCACGGTAGCACGGCAGCACGGCAGCACTCCGGACTCCGGGCTGTAGTCGGCTGTAGGGCTGCAGCTTTCCCGCGCGCACGCTATTAATGATGATGATGATTGCACAGCGGTGGCGATTGAAAGCTCTGCCTGAATTACTTAATTTCACTAATGTAATTATCTATGTTTTATTATAAAAAATAATTTGTAAAAATATATAAATATATGGTATAAAAATGATTAATGTGAAATTAAAAATAGAAACTAACCGAGTTTTAGGACCGTTTCGGTTTCGCCATAGTTCCGCTTTCGAATGTATTTAAAGCGGTTCATTTTTTAACATAATTTTTGTTCTTGTGTGCCTGAGAATTTAAAAGAGCTGCCTTTAGGCTTTTTACTATCGCTCTTGCTCTTGGTGTGTCTGCGAAGCAACGCGAGTGATTCTGTTGGCGACAAGACTCAAGAAATACGATAGGTCGCTTTTTCTGTTTTTGGCTCCCTCCGTTCGCCGTGGTTGCACGCCGGCACATTTATTGCGGAGAAAGGGCGGTGCAATTTGTAGGGGCGCGTACGCCGACTGTACGGCAAGCGCGGATGATCAAAACCCAAAATAACTTGAAACTGATTTTTCTAACGGCTGAACCAAAAGCGACGATTGCAATACGAGCCACGATCTTGTGCGGTGACAGTGCGTGAAGCCGCTGCTGTAATCGTCAAAACAAAAAAACAAAAAAAAAATGCGTGTCCTGATCACAGTCGCGCTGGGACGTGTTCCGGATTATGCCGTCCCGGACATCCGTGGGACGTCCGCAGGACGTCAGCAATGGGACGTGGGACGTTCGCACGTTTTTAGGACGTCCGAGGGACGTTTGGTGTTGTCTGGGGATGGGTCTTAAACGTCGAGATGGTGCGAGCGATGTGCACATTCCGTTTTGCCAGCTGTGTAGTCTCCTCTCCGTAGTCAAGACGTAAAGACTTAAAAGTAAACATTTGACAGAAGTCTGTCTGGTTGGGGAAATGATTATTAAAATACGACGACCAACCAATCCCTAAATCAGGGGCCCAACGTTTCGAAGCCGGTTCGGCTTCTTCTTCAGGGGCGACTATGGAGGAAAGGAGCCGTAATCTTCTTTTTCCTCTATGACGGAGGCGAATGTGCATGATCCCATCTTCTTCCTCTTTGATCGTTTTTTGAAGACAACTGGTGGAGTCCGTTCACATACACAGATGGCAGTGCACCAAGAGACCTATTAATGTTTGTTGGCGTGGTCTGAATGTGCCAAGATTCAAGGAAGAGCCTCTGGCGAGGATTAGTTTCAATGTCCAGGATACGTGTGTTTAGAAAATCAATGCGGTGGTCATTTTTTTCACAGTGTTCAGCAACCGCGCTGCGCTCTTGATTGAAGTTGCGCACATCAGCCTTGTGTTGACAAATCCGTTCATGATAGTTCTTTGTTTCCCCGATGTACGAGGACGGGCACTCCGCGCAGGGAATCTCGTACACCACACCTTGCGCTTTCTCTTTAGGGGGCCGATCTTTTGGTCGTGGCATAAAGCGTCCAAGGGTTGAAGGTGTGGTGTACGAGATTCCCTGCGCGGAGTGCCCGTCCTCGTACATCGGGGAAACAAAGAACTATCATGAACGGATTTGTCAACACAAGGCTGATGTGCGCAACTTCAATCAAGAGCGCAGCGCGGTTGCTGAACACTGTGAAAAAAATGACCACCGCATTGATTTTCTAAACACACGTATCCTGGACATTGAAACTAATCCTCGCCAGAGGCTCTTCCTTGAATCTTGGCGCATTCAGACCACGCCAACAAACATTAATAGGTCTCTTGGTGCACTGCCATCTGTGTATGTGAACGGACTCCACCAGTTGTCTTCAAAAAACGATCAAAGAGGAAGAAGATGGGATCATGCACATTCGCCTCCGTCATAGAGGAAAAAGAAGATTACGGCTCCTTTCCTCCATAGTCGCCCTGAAGAAGAAGCCGAACCGGCTTCGAAACGTTGGGCCCCTGATTTAGGGATTGGTTGGTCGTCGTATTTTAATAAGGTATATGTCGCATAAGGCTGGTGCTATGCACGAACCTATGCAAATGCCCTCTTTTTGCGTGTAAACACTTCCTTCATACATGACGTGCAGGGAGCTTAAGTATGTGCGGATGAGATCGAGGAAATCGGATGTGCTGATCCCACTCTGGTTTTGGAATTTTACGCTTCCGTAGACGTCGATGCACTCTTCCACTGCCTCTAAAGGCCCGTTCACACTCTTGCGACCGAGTACGACTGAGAGAGACGAGATCTCTTACAACTTCTTAAATGTTTCTAGAATGAGGGGACACACTGACATTGTGGCGCCATCTATGCGGTGACCCTAGAACTGCATTTCAGAAAAGCGAAGGTTTTGCGGGATTTCCGAGGTCAAATGTTCGTAATACCCATAGAAAGGCTCGTTTATAACATTGACAAAAGTTTTTTGAGCCAAAAAAGAAAGGATATTGCACGAGAAATAAAAAAAAATATGCCGGACCGCCGAGTTTACACTGCTTCCCAATAGATGGCGCCAGTGTGTTCTCTGGTTTAAGAAGTTTTAAGGAACCCAGGTTTAAGAGGTCGCAAGCAGTCGCAAGAGTGTGAACTGGCCTTAAGGCTCCTTGCTCTGGCACGTTGTAGAACATGTCTTTTACATCTACCGAGAAAGCAATGATGGGTTGTGTTCCATTCAGGAATTCTACCACCTCATCTGAGTTGCGCACCAGGAACGGATCATCGATTTGTAGAAGTGACAAGGATTTCTGTAGTACTCTTGCAATCACATGCTGCCATGTGCCTTTGTCTTCTATTACCCGGAATGGACTGCCTTCTTTGTGCGTTTTGACTGCAAAGAATGGGTTTAGACATAGTTGACTGCTGCCTTTTACTTCCTTCGCTATCTTGGTGATGCCTAGTTCTTCACACTGTCTGGCCATTTGTGCTCTGGCGTTTTTCATACACCTTTCGTTGTTGTCTTTTCGTTCCTCGAAGTTTTTCAGCATGGATTCTTTGGCTTTGTTTTTGTACATTTCCTGTTCTAAGATGACGAACTCTCCTGTCTTGTCAGCTAGCAGGAGGCTGCAGTTGTTTCTTCTAATCCAACATACCGTGTGGTTGGTGTTCACGCCTGGTTGCCTGGCTGTTTTTAATTTGTCGGAAACTGCTCTGATGCCGGCAGCTATGCATGCGTTTCTCTCTTCTTCAGAAACCTTCCTTGCAACGTCGTGCACCATACCGATCAAGTCCACAGTTTTGGCTTTAGGCTCTACTGCATATTTGGGCTTTTTTCTAATGTCTTGGAGACGTTGTCTGGGATAGATAGATTGGTCATGTTGACAAGCCTTTCTTTTTCGTCCTTCATCCTTTTTTTCTTTTTCGGCATGTTGTTCATGCATTTAGTCCACTGGCTCTCACCCTGGTGTATGAAAGGTGTATGAAAAACGCCAGAGCACAAATGGCCAGACAGTGTGAAGAACTAGGCACCACCAAGATAGCGAAGGAAGTAAAAGGCAGCAGTCAACTATGTCTAAACCCATTCTTTGCAGTCAAAACGCACAAAGAAGGCAGTCCATTCCGGGTAATAGTAGAAGACAAAGGCACATGGCAGCATGTGATTGCAAGAGTACTACAGAAATCCTTGTCACTTCTACAAATCGATGATCCGTTCCTGGTGCGCAACTCAGATGAGGTGGTAGAATTCCTGAATGGAACACAACCCATCATTGCTTTCTCGGTAGATGTAAAAGACATGTTCTACAACGTGCCAGAGCAAGGAGCCTTAGAGGCAGTGGAAGAGTGCATCGACGTCTACGGAAGCGTAAAATTCCAAAACCAGAGTGGGATCAGCACATCCGATTTCCTCGATCTCCTCCGCACATACTTAAGCTCCCTGCACGTCATGTATGAAGGAAGTGTTTACACGCAAAAAGAGGGCATTTGCATAGGTTCGTGCATAGCACCAGCCTTATGCGACATACACCTTGCAAGAGGAAACAGAGATCTAGTGCCGTTTTTCCAGGAGATTGGAGTTACAAAGTGCTTTAGATACGTGGACGATTTCCTGGTATGTTTCCCGATGAACAAAATGACAGACCACGTGTGCGAAAAGGTCAAACAGAGGTTCAAGCAAGTGCACAGAGGCCTAGAATTCACATTTGAACCACCGGAGAGATGCAGGCTGCAATTCTTAGTCATCGAAATGGCATTTGGAGAAAAGCATACATGCTGGATGTACAAGACAAGAGGGCAAAAGGCATACTACCGTACGACTCGGGGCACACCAAGTTGGTGAAGAGGAGCGTCGCCTCTGGGTGCGTATGGCAGGCCATAAAGAAATCTTGCCACCACAGAATGTCAGAAGGCCTACAAAGGCAAATCACCCGGCTACAAGCAAGCGGCTACCCAGAGTCCCTGCTAGTATCTGTGGCAGAAAAATGCATAGCAACACTCAGAGGCAATCACAAAACCAAGGAAAAGGATCAGGTCAAAAAACCTCTGGTAGTGATGCCATACATTCATAAATTTTCGCACCAACTGAAAAAGATCGCGGAAACGCACGAGGTCAAAGTAGCCCTATCCGCCCCATTTAAGCTTAAAGGACTGTGCAAAAAGGTTAACGAAGAGGAAGGCGACACATTGGGTCAATCGTCGTGTCGGGTAAAGCACAAAAACAAGTTCGTCGAATGCGTAGAAGGGGTCGTCTACAAAATACCATTGACGTGCGGAAACTCATACATCGGGCAGACGGGGACGTGCTTAAATGACAGACTCAGAGAACATAAATATTCATGCGGGCAATTGCAAGCACCTGGAAACTTAGCAGCGCATTGCGCGAGATGCAGCTGCGAACCGCTATTCGGAAACACATCAGTCATGGACAGATCGAAAAATAGAAACAAACGAGAAATCATAGAAGCCTTCCACATGGCATCAGGGAAGCACGGCACGTGTGTCAGTGATCCTTCCATTGCACTGAACAAAAAGGAAATTGAACTGCTGAGACAATACATAGCATAACGAGGCGGACACCAGCACCAGCTTCAAGTTCCCCTCTCACACCACAAAAA